TGTTTGTGTGCCACACTGTTCTGCCAAAAGCCTGGGAGACGGGGACATCATTCCCGGAATCTCCTGTTTGATTTGGGGGCATCCCCAGTCCCGTTCCCGTCACTAGAAGAGCCCCCCAGGGAAGAAAACGTGTCACGGATGGCTCAGCAATGCCAGCCTGGATTTACACCTGGATTTACATCTGGATTTACACTTCGGACCGCCTTCAAGGGCGAACTTTTTTGCCGAGGGATGGCCGGGAGCATCACTCGTCGGGTCCCGGCTCTGCTTCGGCTCAGCCCCGCTGTTTCCCTCGGTACCCAGGTCCTCGGGTCTGAATCCCAGCCAGGCAAAAAGCATCCCTCCGGGAAAGTATTCTAGCTATCCGTCCCTGAGCAGGGATATAAATACCCGGAGATATTTCGAAGATCTCTGTGGGAAGCGATAGTGTCTAAGCGGTAGCGCTCGGAGCTTATTATCGCTGGAACCGATTTGTGTTGCAGGGACTGGGTCCTGCCAGAAAACTCCTAAAAAATCCCGCGCTGAAGAGGGCTGTAAATTCCTGTCCTGCAATATTTCATTGAAGGACGTCATGGAAAATGTGGGCTCTTTTTTTTTTTTTTTTTTTGGGGGGGGGGTCAGCGTCGGGACAGGCAGAGAGGGGAAAAGGGAGACAAAAGGGGGGGGGGGGAGTGTAAGATTTTCCTTTTTTTTTTTCTTTCCCCTTTCTGATCAAATCCTGAACTTCTGCCTGAGACGCGGCGGCTGACAGGCAGCCCGCACCTCCCCGCAGCTGCCTTAGGCGCTTCGGCACCTCTGCTTTGCACCCACTACCAATTTCGGCTTGTTTTTTTCCCAAAACCTTCTCCAGGTCCCGCTCGGTGCTGGAGGCCGGGTTCTGCCCCCACGGAGCCCCGGGGATGCGAGGGGCCGGGGCTGAGCTCTCGGTGCCACGGGAAAAGGGCCAGTCCGCGACAGGGCACACGCACACGCGTGGAATAAAAAGCCCTGCCGTGTGATGAACCTATAAAAAAAAGGGGGGGCAGGGGGGAGGCGTGTGTCCCCCCAAATACCACCTCTCTCTAAATCCGTCGACCCAGCCACCCTCTCCCCATCCTTGAGCCCCTCGCTTGAACGCACCCCCTCGGCCTTAAATAAACATTTAGGGATCAATTTGCCGCGGATTTGGGTCCAAAAAAAAAAAAAAAAAACAGCCGAGGGAAAAAGGCCGGTGCTGGGGAAGGGGGGAGGGGGGGGTCCTGCGGGTGGTGTTAATGCAAAGCAGGGGCAGCGGGGGGGGGGGGGGGGACGGGGGACATGGGGCGGTCACTCCCCTCGCCCTGGGTGGTCCGGGCTCGCAGAAACACCCCGGCCCCTCTCCGAGCAGCACCCAGCCCGCCTATAACAATACCACCTATATACATTTCCATACTCGGATTACACCCGGCCTGGTTGCAAAGTTGACTTCACTTAAGCAATTAGCTAGTAAAAATACCTTCGGCGCAGGAAAAGGAAGAAAGCTCGGATTTGTCTATTTTTACACAAAACACTGCCGAGTTTCGGGGAGGGGGGAGGGAATGGGAGCGGGTTTGGGAAGGAGCCGGTGGGGAAGCGCGGCGGGGCCGGGCTGGTTGCGGGGAGTATGAGGGGCCGAGCCGGCAAAAAGGGCTCCAAACGGTGCCGGGATTAGCAGGGCTAATTGCTCTAGATGATATTTTTCATTCTCTTTTTTTTTTTTTTTTTTTTTTTTTTCCCGGCATCTCTCCTCCGCCGGGGGCTGGGGGCGGATCTGATTAAACCACCCAAACCACCAGCAAACAGCAGCAAAAGCGAGTCCCGTTCATCTGCGGGGCCAACCCCCATCTTCAATCCAGAAAGTTTCCCGTCCTCTCCCCTCCCAAAACCCATCCCAGGCCCATTTTGAACCTGAAAATACTTCTGGGACCTGGGCGGAGGTTTTATCAACATTAAAGTGTCACCACCAACCCCTCTCCCAGCGTGTTTCTCTCCCCTCCATCCCTCCATCCAGCCCCGCACACCGTCATCCCCCTCGTACATCAGACACCACACGGCCCGGTTTTTCCTCCCCAAAACTCTCCTTTCCCCAATTCACGGGCTCCGTTTCAAACCCTCCAGCGTTTCTGCTATTCCCACGGCGAGGCCTATAAAACCCAGAGCGATGTATTTCCATTTTTAATGTTTGCTGGCTATAATAAATACATCGGAAACCAAATCTGCACACTCCAAAAAGATACTGCGAGAGTGAGGAAGGGCACTCGTGCAGGGACTGATATTCTCTGAAGGGGAATGGTTTGCTTTTTGGTGAGTTTCTTTACTCGCAGGTATTTTATTTCCTATTGGATGGTGACGACGGTTTTGAACGTGGATTTTACACGAGCTCTGTGTACTGTGTTTCGAGCTCCATCCCTGGGTGTTTTGGGGGCAGGTCGGGGAGATTCCATCGCAAAGCGATAGAAATTAAACAAAACCACCCTTTTCGTGGCCCGGGGAAGGGGGACAGAGGGACGGCATTTGATGCAGAGCAAAGCTCAAGGTCCGCAATGCTCTCCCCCCGCAAAAATAAAAAGAAATACAGAGAGGAGCAGAGGGCTTATTCTGCAAAAGCCGACTCGGGGCTGTAAGCATCCGGGAAAGGTGATCGCTTCCCGAAAAAGCAATTTTGGGGGTAGTTTTTCCCCCTCCTTGAGCAGCTGGAACAGCCTGACCTCCTCCTCCTCAAGGGAATAGGTCCAGAAATAGCTGTCTCCCCCTCTGCCACCCCCTTCCCTGGTCCCTGCCCCCGGCCTGGGGTTTGCCCAGGGCTGTCCCCTGCTTGTCCCCATCCCCAAAGCTCCCCCCTTCTCCTGGGAACAGGGGGGCCGGTGCTTTCTGCAAGAGGATTTATTTTGCGGAGAGGGGACAGACGATGGGAAGGGAAAGGAGAGAGGGAGGGAAAAAAACAAAACAAAACTAAAAACCCCTGATGTGAAATCCCTCTTGGTTGTATCACAGATGTGACAGGCGCCCCGGAGGCTGCTCACAACTCCTCGCGAATAACGCGGAGAGAGTTTGGGAACCCGATCGGTATCTTTCTCTTAAAAGGTATTAAATTATCATTAAAAACTTTAAAAGCGAATCTGGAAGACGGGAAACTTGGGGGAAGGGGTCCCCTCTTCTTTCTCTGCGAGGGTGCAGTGGGTCAGACCCACAGCACTGTGGTGCGGCCTGCAATGGGGTGGGGTGGGGGGGAAAGAGTTGTTTTTTTTTTTTTTTTTTTTTTCCCCCCCTTCCTTTCTCTCTTCATTTCCCCAATCCTGAAAGGGAGTCGGCTGCAGCAGCCAGCACATCTGCTCCGCTGAAAGCCCAGGCTGCTCTAGCCGTGTCTTCCCCCCCTCCCACCCCCCCGGAGCGCAGGTTTCCACGCGCGGTCGGCGTGAAAAGTGACAAAGGTTTCAAGAGACTTACCTCGAGTGACAGCTCTCCTGATGGGACGATGCTCAAAAGGGTGGTTTTTTTTTTTTTTTTGGTTTTTGTTGTTGTTGTTGTTGTTTGGGTTTTTTTTTTTTTTTTGGGGGGGGGGGGAGAGAAAAGGGGATCTCTGTCCCCCTGCCTTCCTATTCTCCTTCTCCCCACCCCTCGCGTGTGCCCGTAGCATCCGCCGGGGCTGAGCATCAGGCTCCTGGCGTTCAACTGCAAACGTTCAGCAGACGTTTGTATACCACCCCCCCAAAAAAAAACCCCCAAAACAACTGTCCGACCCTCACCCCTAGAGCAGCCTCGGAGCAGGCGAGGGGTCCGGAACCCGTTCCCATCCCCGGACCGGCGGCGGAGGCAGAAAAGGGCATTTCGAGAAACAGCAGGAGTTTTCGCCGATTTCTTTTTATTAAAGCACCCCCGAGCCCGTGTTTACATTGCGCAGTATAAACATCCTGCCCGGGCCCGCCGAGCTTAAAAGAGCGCACGAAGAGGGGGTTTAAAGTGGGTGAAACTCCGCGCTGCGCGGAGGCCGCCGCTGCCCTGCGCCGCCCGCGGAAGCTGCCGCGCCCTGGCCCTTTCCACGGCCCGCGTGGGGCCCTTCCCACCCTCCCCCCGTGATTTTCAGCAGAAGCGGCGGGGGAAAGGGGGACGGGCGGGGACGGGCCGGGGGGGGGGGGGGGGGGGGACGGACACACCACGACACATACACACGGGTGGCGGCGCCCCACGTAGCGCCTCGGTCACGCGTGGCCCAACCCCACATATACACGCTCTCCCCCTTTTTTCCCCAATCCCCGCGGCGGGCTGGGATGCGTCGCGCAGCCCCCGGGTGGGGCAGGGCGGCGTGGAAAGGGCTCTTTAAAAGCTGCCCACCAGCTGGGAGCGGAGGGGGCCGCCCGGGGGGGGGGGGGGGGGCGTGGGGGAACGGGTCGGGGCGGGGATCTCCTCTCCGCTCTTACGTCTGTCAAGGAGCGGCAGACGCCGCTGCAAGGAGATAAAGTAAAAGGCGAACGGCGGGACTCGGGGGCAGACTCGACAGCCAGCGCGATGGGAAGCAGCTCCCCGAAGCACCAACCCAGCTAGAGCCGGGGCGGGGCGGGCGGGGGGGGGGGGACGGGACGGGGCCGGCGGCTCCGGGAGCCCGGCCCGCCGAGGGGCAGCGGAGGCCGCCGGCTTCTTTCTCGCAGCTCAGCTCGCTTCCACCCGCCCCCCCCATCCCGCCTCCCTGCGCACCCCCCCCTCCTCCGACCCTCCGCCTCTCGCTCGCCTTCTGCAGCCGCGCTCGGATTTAGGGATAAAGTGGGAGGAGGAGGGAAAAGAAAGCGAGGGGGGGGGGGGGCGGGAGGGGAGGTAGGGGTGTCGTCGCTTCCATTTGTTTATCCTCGGAGGGGTGAAGTCTCCCGGTGGGAAGAAACCCCGCCGGGGGGAGACCGGGGGTTTAGGGGTGTGTGTGTGTGGGGGGGGGGGGGTGAGTGGCGGCGAGCCCCCAGCAGCGTGGCCTTTTGGGGGGGCTGGTGGGGGAGGGTGGCGGAGGAGGGCCGGGGCTGGCCGCCGCGGACCTGGCCGTAGATGACTGCAGAAGCGCAGCAGGCTCTGTCCTCTCAGCCCCCTCCTCCTCCGGTGCAGAGCAGCTACGGCCCCATGTCCTCCGTGGCCGAGAAGCAGCCGCAGAGCTCGGCCATGGACGCCGCCTCCGCGGGGACCGGCGGGGCGACCGGCAGCGCCCCGGGCAGCGGCAGCGCCCCGGGCAGCGCCGGTCCCAAAGCGAAGAAAACCAACGCGGGGATCCGGAGGCCGGAGAAACCGCCTTATTCCTACATCGCCCTCATCGTCATGGCCATCCAGAGCTCGCCCTCCAAACGCCTGACCCTCAGCGAGATCTACCAGTTCTTGCAGAGCCGCTTCCCTTTTTTCCGAGGTTCCTACCAGGGCTGGAAAAACTCGGTGCGCCACAACCTCTCGCTCAACGAGTGCTTCATCAAGTTGCCCAAGGGGCTGGGACGCCCGGGCAAGGGCCACTACTGGACCATCGACCCGGCCAGCGAGTTCATGTTTGAGGAGGGCTCGTTTCGCCGCCGGCCCCGCGGTTTCAGGAGGAAATGCCAAGCGCTGAAGCCCATGTACAGCATGATGAACGGGCTCAGCTTCAACCACCTCCCCGAGAGCTACGGCTTCCAGGGCTCGGCCGGCGGGCTCTCCTGCCCCCCCAACAGCCTCTCCCTTGAAGGGGGTTTGGGGATGATGAACGGGCATTTGTCCAGCAACGTGGAGGGGATGGGCCTCGCGGGACACTCCGTGCCCCACCTGCCCGCCAACGGTGGGCACACCTACATGGGGAGCTGTACCGGCTCCACGGCGGGGGACTACCCGCACCACGAGAGCTCCGTGCCCGCCTCCCCGCTGCTCGCCGGCGGCGGCGTGATGGAGCCCCACTCGGTTTACTCCAGCTCGGCCTCGGCGTGGGCTCCCTCCGCCTCGGCGGCCTTGAATACCGGCGCGTCCTACATCAAACAGCAGCCCCTCTCGCCCTGCAACCCCACGGCCAACCCGCTCTCCTCCAGCCTTTCCACGCACTCCCTCGACCAGTCCTACCTGCACCAGAACAGCCACAATACCGCCGAGCTGCAAGGTAAGGCGCGGACACGCGTGGGAGAAACCCCACACCGCCGCCGCGGGGGTCGGCCGGGGTGGTGGGGGGGGGGGGGGGGAGCGCTCCGCGGGCACGCGTGGAGTCCGGCGGCTCCAAGACGCCCCGCTTCGAGTTTTAATGCGTTCCCCAGCGAGGAGGCCGCCGTCCCCCCGCTCCTCGCCATCCCCTTTCCCGGGGCAACCGGGCAGCCGTCGGGGCTCGCCGCCTCTGCGGGGCTGGGAGCCGCCTGCTCGGGGGGCCGGTGGGCTCGGGCAGGCGAGGAGCCGCGGGAAAGCGAGACCAGGGGTGGACCCGTGGGTTCTTCCACCTCCATCGGAACCTGGAGGGCTCCGGAGGGAGAAAAAGGAGGGTACGGGGCGGGGGGGGGGATTTCCCCACCGGGGTGTCCGCCATCCACCCCTTCCCGTCCCCCGCCGTCATTTTCCAGGCCCGTCGCCTCCCTCCGCTCCTCCGCCCCCGCGGAAGTCGGTGGCCCGGGCCCCCCGCGCCCCACAGCCCCGGCCCCGGGATGGAGCTGCCGGGGGTGGGATTCCCCCGGCTCCTGGAGCGGGGAGAGGGGACAAACGGTGGTTTTGACCGGGAGGAGGCCTCGGGAAGGACAAGGCCGGCGCTGGGCTTCGTCCTGCGGCGCCAATTCACCTCGGGGCGGGGAATCTTGGGGCGCGGGGGAGCCCTGGAAATCGTGGCCGGGTGAAATGAGCACGTTTTGGGGGTCCCTGTACATCACCCCGGGCCTTCGGGGGCGGGAGGGGGAGCGGGAAGTGCCTGGCAGAAACGGGTGTGAAATGAAGCGGGAGCGGCTCAAAATCGAGAAACGAAGTGGGGGATAAAGCGTCAACCGGGCCGGTGCGAAGCGGCCGAGCCCCGGGCCAGCCCCGGGCCGGGGCCAGCACCCACCCGCGGGAACCCTCCCGCGCCCGGTGGGTCCCGGCTCCGGCTCAGCGCACCCAGAGCCGCTGGAAAACGGAGCAAAAAAATCCCTCCCGAGGAGCCACGGGGCCCACCCGCGGCCTTCACCTAAATATCCCGGATTAACATCCAAATTAACGGCGCCGGAGTGGCGTCCCCGGGCGGGAGTTTCTCCCCAGCGCACCCCAAATTTAAGGGGCGTTTGGATGTCCCGGGGTGGCGGCAGAAACGGCGGGCACGGCCCCGCTCCCGGCGGTTTTCGCCCTCGACCTCCCCGCCCGGTCTCTGCCACCGGCCCAGCAATGTCCCCACCGGTCCCGAATGTGCTTCCCCGCTCCGCACCCCGCGGATATTCCGCGCGGACGGAGGCGATGGGAAAAGCAGCCGGCACCTTCACGAAGGCAAAAAACCCCGGCCGACCAACGGAAAAAAAAAAAAACAAAACCAAAAACAAAACAAAAAGAAACCAAACACAAAACCCTAAACCCAAAACAGATCCTGTCTCCTCGAAGCGCTTTTGGGCATCGCCGTCCCGCGGAGGTTTCCTCCGCCGCACCTGTCCGCGCCCGCGGAGCCCCGGGAGTGCCCGTGGATTTGCGCGCAAAAAAAATATACTCAATTCCGCGTAGAGACCTGGGGGCTGCGTAGGGCTTGGGGGGGGGCGGTTTGTTTTTCTTTTTTTTTTTTTTTTTGTTTGTTTGTTGTTTTTTTTTTGTTTGTTTGTTTTGTTTTGTTTTGTTTTTTTTTTTTGTGTGTGTGTGTTTTTGTTTGTTTGTTTTTTATTATTATTTTTTTGGTTTTACCCCAGCCGGCGGCTTTCTCCCCCTCCGCCCTCATCCTCCTCTACTCAATATAATTCCGATGGCTGACGATCTTTCCCCCCACCCCGTCCCGCAGGCATCCCGCGGTATCACTCCCAGTCTCCGAGCATGTGCGACAGAAAGGAGTTCGTCTTCTCTTTCAACGCCATGGCCTCCTCCTCCATGCATTCAGCGGGCAGCGGCTCCTATTACCACCAACAAGTGACATACCAGGACATCAAGCCGTGCGTTATGTGATACGGGGCAGAAAAAAACACCTCCTGGGGCCGGCAAAGCCTGACCCGGGCATCGAGCCCCCCCTCCCCGGGACCCTCTGGGTGGAAGGGGAGGGTCTCTGTAGCCTGGCTTTGTTCAGGAGGAGCGGGGTGTGCGGCCCCGGGGCTGAGACTGCCCCGCAGCTGAGCATCGGCCGGACCCGGCCTCCAACACGGGTCTTTAAATCACAGACGGTCTCTGCCTTCATCTTCTGCTTCTTCGCTTGGGGCTGGCTTGAGAAGAAAGCAAAAGCAGCCCCGCACCCCCCTCTGAAAACCCCGGCTGTGAGTTGGGGTGAAGGGTTTGACAAATGAGGTTTTGATGCTTCTTTCCAAAAAAAAAAAAAAAAAAAAAAAAAAATTAAATTACTAATTCAGTTTTGTAATGGGCATTGAGCGATGTCGCCAGCTCGGTTGGTAGGAGCAGGGCAGGATCGGGACTGGGGGGGCTGGGAAGGACCCTGACCCCAAAACTGGCGCATTCTGCACCCGCGGCCCCTCCGCACCTCACCGCGGGGAGGAGCGGGCCCGCCATCGGGGTCCCCCCGCCCCAACCCCATCGGTCCTGTCTCACTTCGAGCCCTTTCTTCCTAGAAATACCCTTTTTTTTTTTTTTTTTTTTTTTTTTTTTTTCTTTCCGGCAAACACCCAACGGGAAAAAAAGTCTCTCAGAGGGATATTTTTTTTTTTTTAGCCATTATTTTCTTTTTTTTTTTTTTTACCTGCATAAAGACTGCAGGATCAGACCCTATGCAGAGAGAATAAGGCACTTTGAAAAGAGACAGCCATGCTCATTCTGTTATTTATTCTACATAATTTTTGTTGTTGTTGTTGCTAATAATCGAGACACGAATAGTCTCAGTTGATCAGTATTAAATCGGTGAATCTCTGTTGGCAATATTTGCCATATAGATTTTTTTTTTTAGTTAACCTTTGTAAATTTTAAACCGATCATGGTCTCTGTGTAAAGACAATCCTCCATATGTTTTTATAGAAATTTATATATAATGAAGGATTATTTCCCTCCCTCACCCCTCTATATTTTTTTTTTTGCCTTAACTTTGTACAGTTCGGAGACACCTATTTTAATTCTTTCTGCACTGTATAAAATTGTAATTATGTGGTTCTGGTTTTGGTTTTTTGTTTTTGTTTTTGTTTTTTTCGCCCTGTCCTTTTGTGTACGTTTTGCCCCTAAAGAAAAAAAAAATCGAACCAAAATAAAACATGTATGTTATTTGTACATGGGCTTCACGATTGTATGAGCAGCAAATAAACGAACATGCGGTGTAACACGCGTAATTATATCTGAGGAGTCTGTGGCCTCCGCGGAGCGCCCGGCCCGACCGCTCCAAATCTTCGTGCGTTTGATGTAATAATTCCCCATTTTGGTGTAGACTCCAAAAGGCTTTTTTGGGGTTTGGCTGCGGCTTCCGAGGGGTCCCGTGTCCCGGGCCGGTTACCCCTTTTGCTGAGCGGAAATATTTAAAATGAGGACAATGAAATGAGGAGGGAGGGAATCAGGAGGCGCGTTTTATTTTTATATTATTATTATTATTATTATTATTATTATTATTTCATTTTTTTTTTTCCCCCAAGGAGAAAGCAAAAGGCGGCGTTTGACAGCTCTTTCCCTCTTATTCGGAGACAAGGCGTGTGGCTGAGGGATGGAGCCTGCGGCTCCTTTTCTCTCCTCCTCCACCCCGGGCATTTTTCGGGCAGCCTGAGCCGAACATCCCTGCGGAATTTCCGCTGGTAACGGCTGCGACCGTGTTGAGGAGATTGGTAAAAGTTCCCGCTTTTTTTTTTTTTTTTTTTAACCTGCGTGAAAAAAAATATTAAAAAAAAAAAATCAAGCAGATGATGAACTTCTGCACCATCACTGCCCTGTGCTGGGCAGAAATAAATCCGCAGTGAGGGGAGAGCAAGCAGCAGGGACACAAGCCTGGCTCATTTGAAAAATAAGTCTTTTCCTGTGAAGTTTGGGTTTATTTAGTCTAATTAAGCATACTAGCATATCTTGGATATTTTGCTTTAATCCATGGGCCGATATGTCTCTATCAACCCTCATGCCACAAATATACACACACATAAAAAATAGTTTTCTCATATAGAGAATTTAGGTTACTGCACACTAATTTGCCCAGCTGTGTGTAATCAGCTTAACTAAAAGCAAAGTTAGCTGGTAACAACAACAACAGATCTAATTATTCTGTTAATTAAAGCAGGTGGGAGAGGCTTTATCAGAGTTGGTGGAGGCCTTCCTCCGAGAGTGAGGGGCTTTGGGGGGGATGGTGTTTTTTTTTTTTAAGGGTTGAGGCTAGAGGCAATCAACCTGCAGTATTTATTGGGGTTTCCCTGGTTTTATGCCTTTATTGGTTGATCCTTCCCTCTGTCGTCGGGACTGCTGCCCATTGCTGTCGGAGGTGAGCTGCGTTGTTACCAACTTTATATACAAGCTGCAGGTTTTTGCTCCTGAAGCACATATCTGTGCTAGGTGTGGCTGAGATAAAGGTCCAGGGTTAGGAGTTCAGGCTCTGCCAAGCGGTTCTTCCTTCCTTGAAACCTCCCTGTCACTCCTAAGGTTCATTTTAATTTTTTCAGGTTAATTTTGGACTCTTCCTTTTGCCTGTAGTGCTGATGCCTTTGCAGCTTGGTCTGGGCTGGAAAGGCTGGGGCAGGCACCTCGCAAAGCTCAGTTTGAAGGGGTTTGGTAGCTGGTCCCCAGCAAAGGTTGCCACGATTCATTTTTCTCCCTCCTGTTGGTTTCCAAACCTGGAAAAACAGAACCACCGCATACCGTGGACGCCACATATTCCTCAAGCCAGTGAGCGCAGTCTAAACAGACAGCTCTGCATCTCAGACACCTACACCAGGGAGGAGAGGACGAAACGCCACAGGCCCCCAGCCCTTCTCCTGCACAAGCCAAACTTGATTTTTTTTCCCTGCATAGATTCTCCCAGGGGATGGCAAAAAAGCTAGCTGCTGTCACAAGCGGTCCCTTTGTCCAAGCTCCACTTGTACATCTGCAGGGTCGGTTGGGCTCTGGTTGGAGGCGAGGAGGAATCAGCTTGCTCAGAAATGCTGTTGGAGCCCTGTAAGAGGAGATGAGACAGAGACTTGCTCAGAAATGTGGTATTTGCTCACGTAACGGCCCAGATCTGACTGTGCTGTGGCTCAGTTCAGTATCAGCGACCTGCTCTCCGCTTCCAAATCTTTAGTTTTACAAAAAGATGGTTTTCTTTGCATTTGGATTTTTTTTTTTTTTTTTTGTATTTTTACTATAGGAAAGAGTTTCTCCTTGCAGATGCCCTGTGCAGGCCCGGGAGTTTTCTACAGGGCTGAAATTTTGGCGCTTGACAAGAAACAGGGCCTGGTGACTGCATCTGGGTTTGGCACAGATGCACCCCCGGCTCGGGGGTTGGGGGGGGGGGGTCCCTGGGTGTGCTGCACCCAGGGCCATGCGCTGCCGTAGCGAGGCTTTGGGTGGCGAGACACGTTGGCAGCCTCGATGCTTCCCTCTGCTCCTCCCGGGGTGCTTCCTCCCATCCTTGCAGGGCCACCACAGAGCTGGAGATCTGTCACTGTCACCCACCCATGGGCTCGTGTCCCCAGGGCTGCATATGGGGGGGGGGTGGGGTGGGGTGTGTGTGGTGTGGGCACAGGGTCCCACGTGGGGGAACAGCTTGAGGCAGCGTGGCATCACGCAGGGATCCCAAAGCAGGGACACGCACCGTGGGGCCCCTGTGGAAGGAGATGTAAGGGCTGGGTTCCCCCGTGGGGGGGCTGTGACATAGATTTGGGGGGGGGCCCATTGGGGTGATCTGTGGTTCTTTGTGGGGGGGAACGACAGCATTTGGGCAGGGATGCTGTTGAGTGGCCTCTTGGGGCAGGGGAGGGGGGTTTTGGAGGGATCACCTGGGGGGGGTCGGGGGTGGGGGGGTGCCCCGGGGGTGGGTGCCCCGGGGGTGGGTGCCGGGCGGTGCCTTTCCCTTGGCGACAGCGCCACCTGGTGGCGGAGGACCGGAACCACCGGCACCCCCCGCGCCTTGCCCCGCCGCGATTTTCCCCAAATTCGGCTTAAAACCGGGACTCTTCTGGCGGGTTCTGACTTTTTCCCCACAGGGTGGGTATTAGAGGTTTGTTTTCTTCTATTTTTATTTATTTATTTATTTAAATTTCCTTCTGGCATCCAGTGCTCCGAAGGTGAACGTCCCTTTATCTTCAAAATTAGCATCGCAATATTGGTGATTGAATGTGCCATGCAAAATTCGTTTATGGGACGCTTCTGGCTCAGGCCTGCTCTGTGCCCACGTGGGACAGATGGGGATATCTGGCATGGGATATCATGAAATAGCCCATGAATACAGACACTCAGCATGTGATGGGGTTGGCCACCCAGACTAGCAGAAAACTGGGTACTTTGGAGACTTAACTGGTGGGAACGAACACCTTGAATCTTAAACGGGTATTTGGAAGGCCAAATACTGAGTTTGGTACCAACTTCTTAGCAGGTAAAGGCTCAGATCCATCAGAATAATTGGGTACTTGATTTCTCTCCTAAGCACCTCGAGGGATCTGAGCCACAGTTCCTGTCACTTTTGAAAAGGGGACCTTGATTTCTGTGTCACTGAAATGCTTTTGGAAGACCACACCTGCACATTTGGTCCCTCTCCGTGCATATTTACAAGCACAACTGCTGCCTGACACCAATCTCTGCAGGAAAAGCCAGTGCTGGGGTGCTCCTGTGGGCTTCGCATTTGCACATCGCTGCCAAGAAATCTTTGTCACTGGGCGTCATCCTCAGGGACCAAATACCTGATGCAGGTTGGTGTGCGTCTGGCTAAAGGAGAACCCCTGATGAGCAGGAGATGCCGTGCGTGCTGGCAGCAGCTCTGAAGTCATGAGCTGAGGTTATTCATAGAAACAATTATCAAATTGGCTCAACAAGTGAGGAAAGGCATGTGGCTCCGTTGTTTTTTTTTAAGTAACTTTCACTGCCAGTATTCATCTTGCCCAATAAGAAAGTAAAGTCAGAATATTATTAAGGAAAGACAACAGAAGGAATAAACCTTATTGTTATTGAGCTTCTGGGTTGCAAATCTATCTATTTGCACGGGCTCTTTCAGATCAATTCTCGTTATCACAGGTTGCTCTGATCCATCAAATTTCTGATAGATAGTTTTAAGCCCAACCTTAAAAAATGAGCTAAACATTTGCAAGGGAGATGCAGATCCTTCAGAAAATTGAGGTGAATCGCAATGTTGATAAACATGAATTTCTTCCTGGACACTTCTCGCAGATCCTTTGAGAGATCCTAAGAAGCCTGCGGGCCACTGGTACAAGCATCAGAGAGCAAATAACAATTCTAGAGGTCAAACGAGCTCTGATTAATCATGGACAGAGCTGCAAAGACACTGGCAGTGCTACTTTACTTCAGTAGTTTGTACACTGGTGTAAATATGTGAGCCTGAACATAGGCATTTCTTTATTTATAGCAGCAGGAGTTGGAAAAGCCAGAACGGTACAGAAAGTGCAGTTCTGTTGCTCAGCTCAGCTTCAGGCTAATTACTGAAAAAATAAGCAAACACACCTGGGA